ATGGGTTTAAATATAAACCCGTCATGCGTCGTTTCTTGTTGTTTTTAACCAGTTTTATTTGTTTATTTAAAAAATGACAGATTATATTTCAATTTTATTGGTTTGACGGAACGATGAACGACAAACGGAAGCCGATGCGTATGAACTCGCCTTTAGATTTTGAGAGTTGTCAAAGTCCTGCCAAATTATAGGTTATAATTTTGTGTCAACTGGCGTCAAATACCTTGCGTTTTGGAAGATGATGCATTTTGATTCGTGTTATTACGTGTGTTTTTGTGTCTTTTGAAGTCAAATGGAGGAAAATCGAGGGAGAATTAACAGTAGACCCAAAGCACAGTTTATAGTTAATACTCGGTGCCCAGGCAGAAAGTCTTAAACACCAGTCATAGATAAGTGCGACTCGTATATGGTACAAGGATCGTACTAAACATAATATATACTAAAACTGGAGTAGCTGTAAAATAACGACATCACACGATAGGTAAATAATAAATTTTAGTACTACAGAAAAATAATGTCAAAAGGTACTGGTTTAAAAAATTAAGATTAAAGTTAATTAATCAACCTTTAAGGTATAGAATTCATTAAGTGTTATTATTAATAAAATAGTTTGTTTTATTTATTCCTGTGGAATATTACAAATTTGTAATGGTACATAAGATATATTGATAAATATAATAAGAAATGAGGGACGTTTCTTGAAATTTGAAAGTAAGAAATAGTTCTTTTTTTATTTTTTTTGGTATGTGGTGTTTGTTCTTGTTTGGATTTGTATTAACACATACCATTTTTCGATTTTTTCAATCTTTATACAGTTTTTTTCACAATATTTTGAAGTAATCAATTGTCAATCAAATTTTAAATATATTAGTTTCCTGCTATGCGTTCCAATTGTACCAACTTATTTCTTTGTAAAATAAAATAAACTACTTTGAAATTAAAATGACAGACCATTGCCTGGAAACTTATATGGTGAAATTTTGATAAAATAATTTAGTACTCACTAAAAACACGGTATGTCGCTAGTGGTAGGAAAATATTTTTTAGAGGTTACTAGTTTATTTGGTTGCCTGTGATATGCATATACAGGGTGTTTCCTAATTAATCTAAAAATAAAAAAATCGTTAGAGAACGGCTTAAGAAGGGGCTCTTAATAAGTACATATTTATTTTTTTTTCTCGGCAAACCGTTTAATGAACAAGAAAAACTCAAAAGATCAATTTTGTTGAAAAAAGGATGACCAGGGTAAAGAAAAAATATATTTTCTTTAAAAAAGCAGTAGTGTACCATTTATGTTAAGCAAAACATCGATTTTTTTAATTTTTAACACCCTGTAGATCAGAAAGGAAGTACTTTAGACCTAATGGTTATATAAAATTTGTTTTAAGAACACATGAGGAATCACACCACAATTTTTTAGACTAATTAGAAAACACCCTCTGTATATTGTCAACTTGACAATGATTGTTGATAAAATCAAAAATACCTTTTCTGTGAAAAATCCCGATTTTCGCAGGAACAATTTTAGTTTTATTGAATTTGGGTCTGGTGTCTGCAAATACCGGTATGTTTTTAATATTCTATCTATCTAAATTTTAAATATCATAGTCAGAAATAGTTTATTATTTATTAACTGTAAAATGGTATACTTATAAGTTTTATCAAATATTGTGATTTACTTTCACCTTGTAGTCAAAATTTATATTTAATAAACTGTAAAATATATATTCTTATGTTTTATTAAAATTACTCTGATATACTAATATATCAGTATAACTTTAAAACTAAATCCTTTGAAATCAAATATAAACATAAAAAATATTTACAGCAGAAAAGGCGAAGGCGCTGGGTGCAACGTAGTCTCTACTAAGAATACGGGAGCGCTTTGACCCAACTTGTTTACTATTAAGTTTCATATCTATCTTAATAGAAGATTATTTTCTTTTATCTGTGGTCTATATCTTGTTTTTTACACTCAGCCAAAGTGACATCAGTTCATGGAGGCAATGTCAGATGGATCTGAGCTAGAAAAAATTAAACAGTACAAAAATACATTCTTTGTAATTCCAAGATATCGCTGAATATAGATAAATGCCCAGAACATCTATAAATCTTTCTGTCTAACCTATATAATTAAAACGATGAATAATTGCATTTAGATCCACAAGACCACCACTCGAAGAAATCGTAAGCGTGTTCTAAATTAATTTCAATTTCCAATGTGCATCGTGAAAAAGAACCAGTCAGAACGCTAATACTTCCGCTTTAAAGACCAGATATAAGTTCGAGAGGCTAGTTTATATTTATTTATAATTATAAGAGTTCAAGATGATGCATTTACTGATATTAATAAATGAATAGGCCTCTTAAAGAGATGCTTTTATTAATATAGGCACCGGGGAAGCTTCTTTCTTGCTGAAAATATTGCATTTATCTTTTCAATGTTTGTTCTGTTGTTTTTTTTCATATTGAAAGTAACAAATTTTCCTTTTACTTTGAATGTAGTAGACAATGATCAGACTTCCATTGTTTTTATTTATTTTTTGTTAATAAAAAAATCTGCTACTCACTGGTTTGAATTTTTGCAACTAACTGCTCCACAGCAACTTTCGTTGGTCGCAATGCTGCGATTATTAATTATACCATATTTTTCATTATTCGCAATTTAACTCAATCAAACCATCAAACATATTTTTTTTACTGAATTTGCTGAAAAGAGTAATAAAAATTATGGATATTTTAATAGAATTATAGAATAAATCGTCCTATTGCTGCCAAAGTCACTTTTTAATATTTTTCCGAACAACCAAACTCAATCACTAACTATATTTTGAAGAGGAGAATCGATTGCAAAGTCATTAACTACGATTTCTGGCTATTTATGTTTTATTTTTACCGAATAGTTACTAACTATAACATCTTTTATGCAATGTAGCAGTTTTCTGCGAAACTTGCGGCTACAATTACAGCGATTGCACTTTGTTGCGGAGCAGCTTATAAAATAGGGTGGATTCAGTTTAAAAATGAAATAAACATTTACGGGTTAAATAGTAAACATTAATATTTAATAAAAAATAAGTACTAAAATGGACAAGGTTTCAGCAGCAAATGCGAAGAACACTTAACCCAGAAATAGTTTATAGTCTTAGTTTTCAAGGCAATTATATAGTCTATGAAGCCTTTACTGCCAAGTCAAAATAATCAAAGTCAATAATTGTTTATTACCAGTTCTTAGTTCCTATTGTTTTTCTGGCACTTTTCACAACACGTCACTCACAATACTGAAGAACACTCAGAAGACTTACTAACTAAACTTAGACGAGTTACATACTAACTACACTTAGAAGAGTTACTAACCGAACAAGAAGGTACTTATTGTTGTTAACTAAATAAGGGAGAGAGCAAATATTTCTCTGTTTAACTACTAGAGAGAAATACTATGCGGAGACAATGCGATAAAGTGAAAGAGAAGAGAAGAGAGAGAGAGAGATATAGAGAGAGCCGCGTCTTTAGCGCGAACTTAATTATCTAAAAATTAATGCGTGGCAACTTAGGCCGATGTTCAGAGAGGACTGTGTCTTTGTCGCCCTTAAGCCCCTAGAAAGTTGACCCAAAAAGGGCATTTTTTACGACCCGACAATTTTTGTAGTTCTGTGAAACAGATGGCCCCAAATAGACAGTTCTAAAACATTTGCGGTTCAAATCGATTTTGGAACATACTCCCCCCTTTGAAGTCTTTGACTTTAAAACAAAAAAAATAAACGTACGCTTAAACTAGTAAGTACTGACAGACATTATTTGTTGAAATGTTTTCGCTTTAAACTTATGACAAGTATGACAACTAATAGAAATTTTCTTAATTTCCCTTTGAAAGGGCCTTTTCCTTTTAAAAAAGACTTTATTAGCGGCCAATGTCTAAGTCAGAACTTTGACAATACAGTTTGCGGTCTTGCATGTCCTAATAAAATGTGATCTCTTTAAAGAGAAGTCTAACCACATGGTTATTGACGGTAATAATAAAGGAAATTTTTGGTCGTACGGTATCAGTGCTTGAGATAATCTGCCTCCAACCCTAATAAGATTATCATTGTCAATGAATGGAGTTAATTTCAAATTTTGTTTATTAGAGAGATCTGTTTTTCCGATTTGAGTTGGACTAAACTCTTTTAGAGAAGTTTTCTATTTGTAATTGTTTAATTATAAACTGATTAGCAATTTTTAACTCTTCAATTGAAAGCGGACCAGTGGGAATTTTCGGACTAGAGGCTTACAGTTCTTTACAAATCGAAGTACAAAAGCAATTGTTCTTTGTAATCGCGAATAACTTGAGAATTTAGTGAAGATTAATTTCCAAATATTGTTAGTATCAGTGAGTAGTACCGTTTTTGTTTTCTTTCTTCCACGTTGGTAGTTAGAATATTTCTGTCATGTGCGTAAATCCATGTCGAAATTTTGGAAAACTTGGGCCGTTCCACCAAAGGTTTGCGTTTTCTAATCGAGCGGGAGATATTCCTCTAGAGAGTAAATCGGCTGGATTTTCCTTTGATGACACATAACGCCACTTTACAATCTTGAGTGAGAGTTGGATTGTGATATACGATTTGATACAAATACTTGGAATCTGTAAGGGTACGAGTGTAACCAGGCAAGTACTATCTCCGAATCTGTCCAAAGATTTACACTATCAAAAGATAATCTTTCAATGAGTACTGAGCGAACTTTCGTTATTAAAGTGGAGAGGAGGTGTGCACCACAAAGTTCTAAGCGGGGAATAGTTATTTCTCTTATAGGTGCAACTCTGCTTTTAGAAGTAATAAGGCATGACACTTTCTCGTTAGGATATGAAGCTCGTATATATACACAGGCACCATATGCCTTTTGACTACAGCATCCGAAAATCCATGTAGTTCTAGTGATATTGGCTTTATCAGCTAATAGAATAAAACGAGGAATTTTTAGAGATTTTAATAGCGCCATATCATGAATGTAAGATTTCCAATTTATAAGAATATCTTCTCTAAAAAATCATCCCAATCAATTTTAGTTTTCCAGATTTCTTGCATCATTAGTTTTCCTATAACAATAACTGGACCAATTAATCCTAATGGGTCAAACATTTGAGCTATTTTTGAGAGAACTTCGCGTTTAGTAACTTGTTTTTCTTCCGAAGGTATCGGTAAAGATATAGAGAATACATCCAAATTGGGGTTCCAAAATATTCCTAGAACTTTGTTTGAAATTCCATCTACTTTAATATCGTAATTTTCTTGAGAAATATCAGATTTGTGAGAGTGATTAATATTGTTGAGAAGTGAATTTGAGTTTGAACACCATTTGTGTAAGTGAAAATTTCCTAATTTACATAATTGCATCAGTTGACGGTGTAATTCGACAAGATTTTCATATGAATCTTGGCCACAGAGAATGTCATCTACGTAACATTGGGAGAGAAGAGCATTTGAAGCAAGTGGAAATGTTTTTTGATTAATAACAGCAAGTTCTTTCAGTACTCGGGTAGCTAAATAAGGGGCACAGTTAGTGCCATATGTAACAGTTGATAATTCTATACACTGGAGCTTTTCACACGGTTTTTCCCGCCATAGGATGTTATGCAGATATGTATGCTTCGGATTGATTCTTACTTGCCGGTACATTTTCTCGATATCAGAAGTAATTACATATTTAAAGGTTCTAAAGCGCAGCAGAATATCGTACAGGTCAGGCTGTACTGTGTACCCTTTATACATTATGTCATTAAGAGAGAGACCAGATGAAGTTTTCAGCGAACCATCAAACACAACTCGAAGTTTACTGCTTTTACTGTCATTTCGTATAACACAGTGATGAGGAAAGAAATACTTATTTTCGTTCTGATCACTCTTCATAGAGAGGGGTACAATACGAGCGTGATTTAGGGAAATATATTCATCGATGAATTTCTTATACTGAAGAAAGAGATCTGGGTTTTTCTCAAATCGTTTCTCTAATTGATAAAATCTTTTTCGTGCGAAATCAAATGACTCTCCTAATGTCCCGTTCGCATTAGGACCTTTCAGTGGTAAATCCACCTGAAAATGACCACTATCCAATAAAACTGTAGTTTTACAGAAATTTTCTTCCACTAACATATCTTCGGGAGCTAAATATTGATTTTTTAAGGGCTTGACTTCTTCTATTGACCAAAATCTTTCCAACAGAAGATCTAGAGGGGTCTCTGCATTTGATTGCAGGAATAAACATTTTTTGGGGTTTAAGGTGTGATTAAAATTGTGCTAACAATATGAGAGGATCAGACCCGAGAGGACGTAACCTAAAGTGAGTATCCACTAGTGACAGACAATCATCATTTATTTTTATTATGTTTCCTAAGAGAATCTTGTAATACCACATCGGCTCCTAATAAAATATCTATTTTAGAGGGTTTGCTAAAACTAGGATCAGCGAGAGAGATCGATCAGGAATTGCCAACTTTCTTTCATCAATTCTAAACTGAGGACAGTTTTCTAGTGATTTTTTCTAAGATGCTGAAGTTTACCAAGAGAGAAAAATTCCGTTCTATTGTAGATTTTACGTTTAAACGCACGGCATTATGAGTTATTTCTGACGTTGCCACCAACGCCTACAATTTCAACATGCTGTCTCTCAGGAATGTGTTTTAACCTTTTTACAAGAGATTCGGTGATTATTGAAATAGTGCTACCAGGGTCTAATATCGCCTTTGTAGTTATTAAATTGCCGTCGCAATCTGGGATATTAACAAGAGTTGTGCCTAACAAAACTTCACTGTCATTGGAGGAAAATACAGATAGAGTTCTATGCCTAGTAGCAATAGGTTCACTGACCTGAGTGTGGCTGTGAGTGCTTTTAACTATACCCTCATTGTTTGAAGCTACTTCGTTACGCGGAGGAGCTACTTTCACGTGGATTATTATCCCTTGAGCGTTCATCAGATGGCGCAAAATTTGACCTGGATGAGTAATTTCTGTCACTATTGTGATATTGAGATCTTTGAGATTGATAATTATTTCGCCAATTTGGATTTATTGTTTGAGGAGAATACCTTGACTCTGAAGGACTTGATGAATGTAAAAGTGAGTGATGTTTCTTGTTACATATGGAGCACAATTGAGACGTACAATCCTGTACTTGATGTTTTGAACCTAAACAGTTAAAACAAAGACTGTTCTGCCTAACAAAATCCATTTTTTGATTCAAAGGCAAATGTTTAAATTTTAAACAAGTATACAATCTATGATCGGGGAGTTTACAGTATATACATTTCTTAATATTTAACGAAGAGCGAGGAGAATTAGAATAATGCGGGGTATTTTCATTATAAGAGCGAGAAAATTCCCTTTGCTGATTTCCATGTGCATAGTGGGAAAATTTTTGAAACCTATTACTAGAACCACTTACGGTTCCTTTAACTACTGGAGGAGATATTTTCGACGGAGTTTCGAGAGATCTTCCAAACCGTACAGCGCTTTTCTAAAGTTTAGAAAATCTTCTAACTTTGGCAAAATAGGTGGAGAAGCCGAAAACATTTGAGAGCCTCTTCAGAGATATATGCCTTTCGAGTGCCAAAGTCAAACGTTGAGAGAAGATGTATATTAAAATTAAACTCATTGTTGTACAGGGATGCTTTGATGTTTCAAAGAATCTGCATTCTGTTTAATACGCACAATAAATTCTCGAAGAGTATGAGCGGTGACCTTTGTTAAAGTGGGGATCTCAACTAGAATTTTTAATATGGGCAAATATTATAGAGAGTTGATTATCATATCTTTTGTCTAAGTGTGTCAATAGCAACTACCAAATTATCGCTTGTCAACTGCAGTGTTTCTACCAATTGTAGAGGCTCACCCTTAAGATACGTTCTCAAATAAATTAATCTCTGAACATCAGTTAAAGTTTCATTGTCTAGTATAAGAGTTTTGAACAATTCGTAAAAGCTTCCATTTAGTTATGTCCCCGTTAAATTCTGGAATATTTAATTGGGGTAAATTCACGTTTGGATTTCTAGGATGTATCATAAGAGAAGTTGGTTGGCTATGTTGGCCTTGACTTTTCGGAGTAAGTTCTAAAATTTTTCGTTTTAACTTAGCTAAACATGAGAAATATTTGTCTTCCATGGGATCTGCATCCTTTTTGGATGGATCTATTTCCTCTACATCTAACTCTATCATTTCATATGATTCAAAAGCTTGGATTAAACTGTTTTCCCTCACTTGAAATTCTAAATAATCTAATTCAATGTCAACATTTCTAGCATACCAATTAATGATTCTAGAAATTCTACCCTTGTGAGTGGCTCGTTGTTTAATCAAAACTTCGAGGTTAGCCATTTTATGATTAATAATTTGACAAAGTGATTTAATTGGGATTAAAACAAAGTACTTCAAAAGAGAAAAAACTAGTCAGAAATATAACAATTCAGAGAGACAATTCAATTCACAAAAATTATAAACCTATTCAAAAAAATAACATTCAATGATTATGTGTTATCTGTGATTTAATTAATAAATCACAAGCGAAGCGAAATTCTATTTTTTCGTTGAAAAATAGTTATTGTCTTACAAATTAGAATTCAGAGATATTCAATTCATAGAGTTTTAAATCTATTAAAAAAATAACAATCAATTAATAAATCACAAGCGAGGCGAAATTCTATTTTTTCGTGAAAAATAGTTATTGACTTACAAATTGTTTACAAACACCACAATATGTCGTTATTCAATTAACAAAGTGAGAAGTTACACAAATAACACCAACATCTAATTATGTCAATAATTGGTACATTAATCTAAATAAAGAGAAATACCTAAATAAAAGAGAAATACTTAAATTTTCTTTTAATCTAAATGACCATATACAATTAAAATTTCTTATCCTAAATAAAACGGCGGTGTCAAAAGCGACTGTTGACAAACATAAAACACACAAAGGACAAATTCCTTTTTTGTATCGATTTATCTCTAGTTTAGGGTATAGTAATAAAACCAAAAATTCTATTCACTATAAGTTCTGTGAGAAACCCTCGGAGAAACCTATCCTTTTGACGTGGTTTGGAATTTTGGAAATAGAGAGTTTTTGCAGTACCAATAAGTGTCTAACCGCTGCGGCGGTCTAACTTTATCCGAAATCACTCGCGTAAATTTTTCGGTTTTTTGGAAATTTGTGAATAGAGAAACTTGTCCACTGGAGAAATGTTCACTTATAATTTTTGTAAATGTTATTTCTGAATCCGGCTCGAAGGACCATTAAATGTAGCAGTTTTCTGCGAAACTTGCGCTACAATTACAGCGATTGCACTTGTTGCGAACGCTTATAAAATAGGGTGGATTCAGTTTAAAATGAAATAAACATTTACGGGTTAAATAGTAAACATTAATATTTAATAAAAATAAGTACTAAAAATGGACAAGGTTTCTCAGCAGCAAATGCGAAGAACACTTAGCAGAAGAAGTTTATAGTCTTAGTTTTCAAGGCAATTATATAGTCTATGAAGCCTTTACTGCCAAGTCAAAATAATCAAAGTCAATAATTGTTTATTACCAGTTCTTAGTTCCTATTGTTTTTCTGGCACTTTTCACAACACGTCACTCACAATACTGAAGAACACTCAGAAGACTTACTAACTAAACTTAGACGAGTTACTAACTACACTTAGAAGAGTTACTAACCGAACAAGAAGGTACTTATTGTTGTTAACTAAATAAGGGAGAGAGCAAATATTTCTCTGTTTAACTACTAGAGAGAAATACTATGCGGAGACAATGCGATAAAGTGAAAGAGAAGAGAAGAGAGAGAGAGAGATATAGAGAGAGCCGCGTCTTTAGCGCGAACTTAATTATCTAAAAATTAATGCTGGCAACTTAGGCCGATGTTCAGAGACTGTGTCTTTGTCGCCCTTAAGCCCCTAGAAAGTTGGACCCAAAAGGGCATTTTTTACGACCCGACAATTTTTAGTAGTTCTGTGAAACAGATGGCCCCAATAGACAGTTCTAAAACATTTGCGGTTCAAATCGATTTTGAACACAATGCAATTCATTTTTAGACGCATTTTTCTCGGAAGTAATAAAAAGTAAGTTAGTGACTTTTGGCAGCAATGGGACGAAATATTGTAATAAATCTTTGGTAATCATAATAATAGCTCGAAATAAAGGATTCGACCTCTAATTTCTTACTCTCAAAATGTTCTCTGAACTTCCTGAATGCACATTAAACCATCTTACTACTTTAATTAACGAGTCATTCCAAAAAGGAGTTTTTCAAAACTGTCTTAAGACAGCAATAATTATTCCTCTGTATAAAGGAGGTGATAAAGATGAAGCTTCGAACTATCGCCCAATTGCACTCCTGCCCACATTATCTAAGATCATTGAAAGATTGGTTAAAAAAGGTTTCTATCTTTTTCTCCTTAAATATAAAATACTTACTACCCATCAATTTGGATTTCAGCAGTTGCACAAATGATGCTATGTTCGACCTTTTTTAATAATGTATACTCTAGCCTGAATAACCATCACTCTACAACAACAATTTTCTGTGATTTCTCCTAAGGCTTTCGATTGTGTAAATCATAATATCTTAATTAACAAATTGCAATACTATGGTTTCAGGGGAGTGCCGCTCGAATGGCTTAAGTCATATCTTGGCAACAGAAGGCAGCTTGTGAGGATTGGATACGTCTATGACTTTTTGTAAGCCTATAGAATGTGGTGTCCCTCAGGGTTCAGTACTTCAGCTATTTTGTTTCTGGTGTTTATCAACGACATTGCAAATCTAGACATTAGCGGTAAAATCTGCCTCTTTGCGGACGAGATACTAGTTTCACTTGGAGCGGCTCCAGATGTTACGGCGCTATATGATACATAATCCAATGACTTACACACTATTAAGTCTTGGTGCGATCTCTAATCTCCTATGCCTCAACCTATCAAAACTAAAGTTTTGTCATATAAAAGTACTATACAACCTTTTGTACTTAATAACACTACTATTGACGTCGTGGACTCTGTGAAATTCTTAGGACTTCTTGTAGACAGCTCGTTAAATGGGACTCTCACATTGAAGCTCTATCAAAGAAACTAAGCGCTGCCTGTTTTGCGCTAAGATCAGTTTCTAA